ACCCATCCAGATGAGCGTCTCCGAATGATAAGCCCTGATAGTGTATGCTCCCCATCATCTGAAGGAGACTGGAGCTTGAGAAGGTCAAAGAGCCATGCAGAGGGAGTGTATCCTCATTCACTGGAAGAGGAGGGAGAGGAGGAGGAGGGTGATAGGATTGTTGGGGGTGGGTTTATAATATCGGAGGGTAAGGTGGGACGGAGGAGAGCCTCCAGACAGCTTTCTAATAATATTGAGGACAGAGGGTTGAGTAAGTCAATAGATACACTGTGATGGTGTAAGACTTTGAATGGATTATTATAATGTACTTGTTGTTTATGGCATTGGGTTTTTATTTTTATTATCTTTTATCACACTCATTGTTATTTTTTAATTATATTAAATTATTATTATTTATATATGACATACACAATTGTTTTTATTAATTATTGTTATTGTTGTTTTGTATTGTGACTACATTATAGTGTCATTTTTAACTGCATCTTTTGTGTCTGTGATTATTTTTTGATTTTTATTTAAATTTTAAAACTTACACACAATCAATGGCAATAGTTGCATGTTTAAGAAAGAGCTAGGGAGAAGTGGAAGCCAGGAAAGAATACAAATAAAAATTAACAAAGAACATGTAATGTAAATGCAATACTATTATTATTATTATAATAATCTTTCATAATTGTCCAATAGTGTTTGTGCTAGACTATCAGTTATTAATGTATCCTCTTGTTTAATTATTTCTATAAACAAACGAAATACTTGGCCATTCACTTGAATGGATGCTCTAACTAAACTAAGTAGCTTGTCCATTCTTTGATCAGCAGTCAATCCACAGTGTGTATCAGTAATTTGATTCTTTTGTCTTTCATTTATTATTCTCTTCTCACGTAGCTTATCTACTAATGTATTTAGATCAAGAATTTCCTTTATCATTCCAGTACATTCTGTCATTACTGTAAGACCAATATCAGATCTAAATGTACCTATTAATGATCAGTGATTAGTGTCTTATTATGTTAATATCAACTTACTAGCTCTTGGTACTGATGTTGATTCATGCACTACATTAGAGGAGGAGGTGGTGGTAGTAGGATCTGATTAATATTAAATAAAATAAACAATTAAAATGATTTATTTATTACTTGTTGAAGGAGGAGCAGCTCTGAGTGATCGGTGAATGAATAATGTCTTAGGATCAGCCACTCCATCCAGTGGTACAGAGTAATGTAGTGATGGTACAGCACCAGGTGATCCATATACTGATATCAGACAACACGGAGGAAGAGAATAATTAGCTTCGCCAAAATTGTCAATATCAAAGCGATGCAACTATAAATACAATTATGATAATTAGTGAATATCACTTTCCCCACTTACTTTACAAGGCTCAAGATGTGATTGTATAGTCCAACCAGTGAATGGATACTTCTGTGGAGTATGATCAAGTTTCAACTCAATGCAATCTCTTAAATACTGAAAACTGAAGGAGACATATTGTCCTAATTCAGCTTGCGAATGTTCCTGTTTAATGTACTGTTTGTACAAAATCAATTGACTGACATTCCAATATTAATACACTTACTTCAACAAGAGCATTCAGATCTTTAGCAGCAGTGAATGTCACTAGATCCTCTACACCTTTCTCTTTATAATAAATCACTCCTACATATTTCATATTCTTCAGTACACTAGGAACAACCACATCTGAAAATATACCAGTACATGTAATAAGTTTTAATGTGTAGTGCTTACTATTAGCATAATTAGAGCTAGACTCTGTACAAAGTGCAGCAATAGTTGTTTCTTCTTGAGCAGGATTCTGCTGTCCTTCCTCTGGTACTCTATCTCCTTCTTGCTCCACTACTGCTGGTTGCCCTCCTTCTTGTTGCACTGTTGCTGACTGTCCTCCTCCTTGTTGCACTGTTGCTGACTGCCCTCCTTCTTGCTGTACTGTTGCTGGCTGCCCTCCTTCTTGCTGTACTGTTGCTGACTGCCCTCCTTCTTGCTGTACTGGTGCTGACTGCCCTCCTTCCTGTTGTACTGTTGCTGGCTGGCTTCTTTGTTGCTGCACTACTGCTGGCTGGCCTTCTTGCTGGACTGCTGCTAAATGCCCTCCATTTTGCTGCACTACTGCTAGCTGACCTCCTTCTTGCTGTACTGATGCTGACGGCCTTCCTTCTAGTTGTACTAGTGCTGATTGCCCTCCTTCTTGCTGTACTAGTGCTGATTGTCCTCCTTCTTGCTGTACTAGTGCTGATTGCCCTCCTTCTTGCTGTACTGGTGCTGATTGCCCTCCTTCTTGCTGTACTGGTGCTGGCTGCCCTCCTTCTTGCTGCAATAATGCTGGCTGACCTCCATCTTGCTGCACTGATGCTGACGGCCTTCCTTCTTGCTGCACTGATGCTGACAGCCTTCCTTCTTGCTGCACTAATGCTGGTTGCCCTCCTTGCTGAACTGGTGCTGACTGACCTGAGCCTGGCAGTGATACTGCTATTAATGCTCCCCCTCCTCCTACAGCTGGTTGTTGCTGAATTGCAGCTCCTTGTTGCTGCTGATTTTGACTTCCTCCTCCTCCTCCATCTCCTCCTCCTTCATGATCCTCTTGTCCACCAATGCTGGCCATTGTCACCATGAACAATCCCAGTATGCACACCAAACAGAACTCTTTACGTTGAATGGATCCATACCAACTATTAGATCTAAACTCTCCTCCCTCAACTATTGAGAACTGGTAAGGAAGACTGGGTGTGCTCACGGGAGCTATAGCAAACTTAAGATGATGACTAAGAGGTGGTTGTCCTGTTAAATCAACGCAGTGCTGTATTTCTAATATGAGCCTTTTAAGGAGAGGCTTTGAGAGTGATACTGCATACACAGCACTCACTAGGACAGTATTAGGAGGAAACTGGAACTGTCCTCCTACAAGAGCAATCACTGCTGCTTCTACTGTCTCAGAGGACAGTAAGCTCTCCTTTTGTACTCCAATCCTTAGACCATATTTCTCCCAATTCATCAATTGAGGTTTGTCTCCTTGAATTAAGAACAGCTTCCTCTCTGCTACCTGGACATCACTCAGACAATCCAATTTATCTGTCAATTATACAAAATATATACAGTGAGTACACACACAATTGTATACACTCAGTCAGTCACACAATAATACTCTTACCCATTGAAGGGATCAGGTAATTAAATTGTAGTCCAATGGAACTAGTCTCTTTGATGGATTGTTCCTCTAAGGATGTGACTCTCTCCTGTAGCTGTGACTTCTCCTTCATTAGTTTGGTTGTATACAATTCATTTTCAGACACTTTAGCCCTAAGGTCTATAAATAAATAGAATATTAATAATTATTATTGATTGATGATGATACACTAACCAGTAATGATCTGTTTCTCATTCTGTGATTGTTCCTCTACTTGTGATGTCAGTTTGGCTATAACTTTGTCTTTCTCTGAAATGTCAGTTTTGAGATTTTGAATGTCATCTACACAATAAACATATTGTCTCATCTAATACATGCTGTGTGTATAGTTAACTAACCAATAATGATCTGTTTCTCCTTGAGATATTGTTCTTCCTTCTCCTCCATATCAGCTAATTTGAGTTTCAGTTTCTCATAATCTTCTACATTTAATAGAAGATTTTCTCATCAAATATTACATGAATGTACTGATGATACACTAACCAGTAATAATCTGTTTCTTCTCCTCTATTTGTGTCTTTTCTTCCAATATTTCTTCTTTATTTTCAGGAGCTTTGAGTTTCAGTTTCTCATAATCTTCTACATTAATAGAATATTCTATTATCTATATAATTATGTACTGATGATACACTAACCAGTAATAATCTGTTTCTCTTTGATCAGCTTTTCCTGTTCTTGTCTCATCTCTTCTAATACATTGCTCATAATATCATTACTATCATCACCTTTAACTGAATAATAATATAAAAGAAGAGAGTAATCAGTATATGCATAATAACACAACAGAATTTGTATAATAGTGAGTCAGTGTATCAAAGGCACTGCCTGTGATTACAAATGTGAGGAGCCTTGTGGTTTTCACAATAAAAAAAATTTTTAAATAAAATATACAAAGCAAAATATCGGACAGCTGTTATAAGCTGAAAGTCAATGCAAAGTCTGGCCATAGGTTTGGTGACCCGTGGGGACTGACAGGTACAAAGCCAGAAGATAAGGAGTCTCCAGAGTCCATACAGGCTTAGATCAATGCACAGACCAATAATCACTTGTCATTTTTTTCACAATTTTTCATTAATTTCACTACTCTCTTCCCATGTTCAAATCAATGGTTGACTAGCCTCAAGATGGCCAGGGAAGGTAAGATCAATACACAGCACATTAAATTTCTCTGTGCCTCCTGTCCTCTGTTGTATTCATTTTACTGAAGCATAGTGCTACTAGTGCTGTAGAGCATTTGCATACACCTACTCATATACATGTATAGTCGGTTTCAGTTGAGTTTGACCACTGACCCACCCTTATAACTTCTCTATTATTTATGCTAGCAACTTGAAACTTGATATAGTTGCAAAACAGGTTCTTCCGAAAATCTGTACCAATTTTGGAGTCTCTAGGTACTCTGGAAGGTTCTCAAAAGGTTCTTCCGGTCAACATCAAAGGGAGCCGCCATGATGTTTCATGACGTGAAGCTTCGTGAATATCATTCGTATCTCATTAAATATGTCAATAATCATGTTTTTATTATTTAAAAATCAAATAAAGCAAAAGGAGCACTCCAGGCCAAGATATAATTGAACAAGAAGACTTTGCACTCCAGAAAGAAGTCTCACTCAGTCTGCTGTACCTCTCTAAGCCTTTGTTATTTGTCTTCACCATTGCCGCTCAGAAACTCCGTTGAAATTTTGCATCTCTCGATTCTTTCTTCAGGTAATAGCAAGCACAAAGATCCTTCATGTCAATTGCAGGGCTAGCAGTGACCAAAATAGGGTAATAAACAAGTTACAACAAGAAGAAAGGAGCATGATGAAATTTTCAGCCATTTTATTTGCGTGTGGGTGGGGCTACACGTGACGTTTTGATGATGAAAACATCTGGTCAAACTCAACTGAAACCGACTATACATGTATGTTGATATTTGATAATACCCCTACTGCGGGATACATTGCATTTGTATGACCTTGTCACTTTGCCTTTAAGCCTAAGGCTCTCGAGCTTGGTCATATAAATGTGATGCATCCCACAGTGGGGATGTTATAATGCATATACACACACCAAAGACTGGTTCAACCAATGAACAAACCATTAGATAATGATATTCAATATTATTTGTAGCTTATAAAAATTTGCACTGCATGTCCATAAATACATTACTGCTAATGGTACCATGGAAAGCAGATCAAGGTCCCTGTACACGAATCTCATTACTTGTAATGCATGGGCAATTTGACCTACATGTACACCGTATACTCAACATTGTCTAATCCACTAGTATCATAATGTAAACCAGTACTAATACACATACTCACACTACCAACGAGACACCAAAGGTGCGTGGCCTCGCCCCTAAAGCTGTTTGGGAGGTGTTAGGCTTAGCTAGCCTAAGCCAGTATATTAAATGATATAGATCAAAAGTGACAGACTAAGCAAGTGTGAAAAGTATGATGGGACTCAAAAGTCCCAAAATTCCTATTAGCATCTCAAGATTTATCACTTATTTACTGCACTGACTCTCATTTTAAAAACATCATGGGTTTGAAAACCACAGCTTTTGTTGTGGCCACAATCTATCAAAAAATGCTATGCAAAAAATAGAAAGTGTGCTCTTGAGGCCAAGGGATTATCATAACAGCTACTTTCCTAGCTGCAGTTACACTTGCTCTTGGATGCTTGCAGAAGTGGCAAGCTCCAGGGCCAACTCCCAGCTTGGTCCTGCTTGGAGGCGTGGCAATCGGTGGCATTATTATCAATAATGCAGCAAGACCATGTGAGAGAGAAGCTTCAGGTTTTTTCTCTTCTAAGCGCTATATGATGTTATAATGGCACAAATACTGTTGCATATATAGATTGAGTGACTTAAGAGAGTTTAGGATCCTTAGACTAGCTATGGACTAGCAAACTGCTGCTACAGCACTTCACTCAGGATGAAATTCGAGTAGCTACATGTATAACTCACCAACAAGAAAGATTTTAAGAGTCCCACACAAATTAAATGAATAAATAGTCTTGATCTACTGGAAAAGAGTCTCATTTACCTCCAGAGTACTACCGTTATTGCTGGGCATTTTCTCGTGAGTTAAAAAGCTTGTACTACCTAGAGCTGCTCTCTAAACATCTCGAGGCAGTGAAGCAAAACTTTTCTTAACAGAAGAGAAGCTCTCACAGGTTTAGAGCACGCAATTGTAAGATATACATTCTCAAAGACAAAATATAGCACACAGAATGAATGATAGACAGACAAACCGAGTACCTAGTCCTCGCCTACGCAAAGCTGGGCGAGGCCAATAACCACACAATAGTACATAATAGTAATCAGTTAGTACAGTTAAAGTGTGTGTGTGTGTGTGTAGTATCCTATATACTTTGTTTATTGGCCTCAACCAGTGCCTCCTGTAGTGATACTTTGCCCTCATTAGCCACTTGTAGGTCTTGATGTAAAGATTGTATGTATCTCTGAAGCTTCATTTCCCTCTCTGTTGGATATTCTATTAGCTGATCCATCCACCATGTTCTGGTCTTGCTGTACGATTCATACTTTTCTTGATAGTTCTTACTAGTGAGATCATTACCATCCAGTACTGACTCTACTATCCACTCACCAGCTTCACTATATACTGAGAGACAATAAGATACATTATATATTTATAAATAAATGTATTCAATTT